TCAACCATTGACCCCAAATGTCAACCCTTGACCCCAAATCCCAACCATTTACCCCAAATCCCAACCATTGACCCCAAATCTCAACCATTGACCCCAAATCCCAACCATTGACCCCAAATCTCAACCACTGACCCCAAATCCCAACCATTGACCCATATCATGATTGTTGACCCAAATCCCAACCATTGACCCCCAATCTCTGCCCCGTTCAGCCCCTGTGGCTCCTCGGCCGCCCCTCCGGCTTCACCTTCGGCGACTACACCATGTACTGGGTGCGCCAGAGCCCCGGGAAGGGGCTGGAATGGGTCGCTGGGATCTACAGCAATGGTGGTAGAACCTACTATGCGCCGTCGGTGAAGGGCCGGTTCAGCATGGCCAGGGACAACGGGCAGAGCTCGGTGACGCTGCAGATGAACAACCTCAGGGACGAGGATTCCGCCACCTATTTCTGTGCCAAACGTGTCAATGCTGGTTTTGGTGGTGCTGATGCCATCGACCCCCTTTGTGGGTTCCCCAAACCTCCCCAGACCCTCCCCCCAAAGCTCCGCCCCTTCACACCCGGCTCTCGCTCATCGCTCCCGACCTTGGGCTGGTTTGGCCCCAAATTCTCCCCCTTTGGCCCCCAAACCCCAACTCTTTGCCCCAAATCTCAGCCCTTGACCCCAAACCTCAACCACTGACCTGAAATTTCAACTGTTGACCGAAATCTTCAACAACTGATCCCAAATCACAACCAATGACACCAAATGTCAACCATTGACCTAAACCTCAACCACTGACCCAAAATTTCAACTGTTGACCCCAATCTATACAAAAGGTCAAGGTTGGGACCAGCGGTTGAGATTTCGGGTCAGTGGTCTAAATTCGGGGTCAACGTTTGACATTTGGCATCGACGGTTCAGATTTTGGTGCGAGGGGCGGAGCTTTGGGGGGAGGGTCTGGGGAGGTTTGGGGACCCCACAAAGGGAATGGATATCCTCAGCACCACCCCAACTACCACTACCAGCATATTTGGCGCAGAAATAGGTGGCGGAATCCTCGTCCCTGAGGTTGTTCATCTGCAGCGTCACCGAGCTCTGCCCGTTGTCCCTGGCCATGCTGAACCGGCCCTTCACCCACGGCGCGTACCAGGTGTCAGCACCATCGTTCCTGATCGAAGCGAGCCATTCCAGCCCCTTCCTGGGGCTCTGGTGAACCCAGTTCATGTCGTGGTTGCCGAATACGAAGCCGGAGGGTCGGCAGAGGAGCCACAGGGGCTGAACGGGGCAGAGATTGGGGGTCAATGGTTGAGATTTGGGTCAACAATCATGATACGGATCAATGGTTGAGATTTGGGGTCAATGGTTGAGATTTGGGGTCAGTGGGGGAGATTTGGGGTCAGTGGGGGAGATTTGGGGTCAATGGTTGGGATTTGGGGTCAATGGTTGGGATTTGGGGTCAATGGTTGAGATTTGGGGTCAATGGTTGGGATTTGGGGTCAATGGTTGAGATTTGGGGTCAATGGTCGGGATTTGGGGTCAATGGTTGAGATTTGGGGTCAATGGTTGAGATTTGGGGTCAATGGTTGTGATTTGGGTCAACACTTTGGATTTGGGTCCACAATCAAGATTCCTGGTCAATGGTTGACATTTGGGGTCAGTATCTGATCTTTGGGGTCAAGGGCAGAGATTTGGGACAAAGAGTTGGGGTTTGGGGCCAAAGGTGGGGAATTTGGGGCCAAACCAGGCCCAAGGTCGGGACCAACGACCACCTTGGGCAGCCACACCATGGACTGGGTGCGCCAGAGCCCCGGGAAGGGGCTGGAATGGCTCG